GAGGCTTTAAAGATTTGTTTATAGATAAGATATGGGAAGAAGAGATTTTTTGTTGTATTTTAAGAGAAAGTGATAAGCTATGGTGTTAAAATTGAAGGAAAGTGTTAAACTTGTGAAGGAGTTTCTGAGAGGAGACAAGAAAATGATAAGAAATTAACTTGTGGGACACTATTTGAAGGGGTTAAAGATTAAGATTTTCAATATGTTGTTTCTGGTAGCTCTGAATGGAATTTTTCTTGATTAAGCTTGAATGATGAGGCTTTAAAGATTGGTTTATAGATATGAGATAAGATACAGGAAGAAGAGGGTTTTTTTCTGTATTTTTAGAGAAAATGATGTTACTGTGTAAAGTAAAATAAAGAAATATGAAATTGATTTATTTGTTTAAGGTTAAAATATATACATTGTTATTTCTGGTAACTCTTAATAGGCTTTTGGTAATTACGATTGAATGATGAGGCTTTATTATTTGTTAATAGATAAAAGATGAGATATAGGATGAAGAGATCTTTGGTTGAAATGTTAGAGAAATGATAAGCTACTGAAATTGTTTGTACTTGTCTTGATGAAGGGGGAAGTCATTTCTTTATATATCTTTTTTCTTTATATTTTTTCCCCTTCTCCCCTTTTTTCTCTCTGCATTTTTTTCTTTTTATATTTTTCTTAGTTTGTATTAGTTTTTTATCTTTGTATTTTTAAACTTTAATAATTATTATAAAAAAATCAATTCCCTTTAAAGGATCTGTCAAAACCAGAACTAAGTATCTGCAAAACCTCTTAACTTACATGACTCTTTTTTAATCTTCATGCCCACAATCCTCTTATCTTGGCTTATGTCTCTGTTCAATATTTCAAGAACTAAAATAAACAGAATAGGGGACAGTGGGCAACCTTATCTTGTTCCTTTTTTTATCTCACATGGTTTGGTTAAATCTCCATTAACGATTATTTATACCATCTGTCAAGTATAAATTGATTTCACCCATTTTATAAAATTCTCTCCAAAATTCATATCTTCCAGAACTTTAAAAAAGAAAGTCCAGTTCAAATTGTCAAAAGCCTCTTTTGTATCTAAAAAGATCAATGCATTTTGTTTTTCATTTTGTTGTTCCAAATATTCCACAATATTCCAAAATTTCTAACATTGTCCTTTAACTGTCTTTTAGCTAAAAACCCACATTGATCCTCATGAATAAATTGTTGCAAAATTATTTTCAACCTTTCAGCTAAAATCATTATAAACAGCTTATAATCATTATTCAATAATGATTTTGGTCTGTAGTTTTTCTTGCTAAAGTCAAACCTTGTCCCTTGTCCTTTCCAAGTCTGGCATCTTTCCTCCCTGTAAAATAGAGTTCATTGTGCTTTGTAGAGATTGTAAAAGGTTATTCTGAAAACACTTACAATACAGACTTGATAACCTATCTGGGCCAGGAGCCTTTCATGATTTACTCTTTTTAATAGTTTCTCTTATTGTTGTAGGTCCATTCATAATTTTTCTTCTTTTGTAATCCTTGGTAAATTTTGTTTTCTGAGATATTCATCTATTTTTGCATGTTGTATATATTCTAGAAACTGCCTTATTAGGTCTTGCAGGGCAGCAGTAACCCTCCTCTCTCCACATATGTGACATGCGAACTGGGTGAGCATTCCCATTCATGCAGGATTGTCTTCAGGACAAGCCAATGGTCCATCCATGATAAAAAAATTGAAACTAGATTTAGGCCATTCCCATTGTTGAATTTGTCAGTCATTGGCATAGCTCTACAAGAAACTGCATTTTTTCCCTTTTTCTTTCAGGTCAAAGGGATGGAGAGCTGCCAACTCTGTTGCACTTTGCTGCAAAATATGGGCTAAAGAATCTCACAGCCCTGTTGCTTACATGCCCAGGAGCTCTGCAGGCTTATAGTGTTGCCAACAAGTATGGTCACTATCCTAACAACATTGCAGAAAAGCATGGCTTCAAAGATCTCCGCCAGTTCATTGATGAATATGTGGTAAAAGGGACTTTATTATCTGTTGTAATGAGGAGAAAAATACTGGGACTAAAACTTAACAGTGCAGGACTCACATAGAAACAATAGGGTTGAAGGTTTCAGTGCTATATGTACAGTCTTATTCCATAATAGTAACATGTGAATGCCATTGAGTTTTCCAGAGGATGAAGGTGCTATTCTTGAAGTGAAATTATAATTTGAAAGACAGATCTTGAGGAGTTCTCAACATTAATCTAAATGGGACTTTTAGAATTAGATCTGAAGACCCTTGATACTTCAGTTTTCACATAGGGAAAATTCCTATGGATTATGTTAGATGGATCCTGAAAGTGCACAGAGGAACTGGTACATGCACAATCACTGTGGGCTATGTATCTACAATGTGGACATCAACTAGTATCTTTTTGAAAAAGAGCAGAACTGGAAGACATTTTGTTCAATTTTCCTTGAATTCTTGTAGCCAAAATACTTTGGAGATGTAATATGCAATGTAGGAGTTTATAATGAACTACTCCCTTTCTTAATTAAAATATTACATTTAGGAAGAAAAATGTAGGACTCCCGTATAAGATGGGATTCATGGCTTGGAAATACATCAGAGAAGGACTTTGATGTGGACATTGACAACAAGCTGAACATGAATCAGCATGAGAGAGCTGAGCACTATATTTCCAGATGGATATTGACAGGTTAGAGTTCAGAGGGCAGCAGTGAAGAAGATGCAGGACATGTCCTATGTTGATATGCTGATGGAACTAGAGATATTCAGTCTGGAGGAAATAAGACTGAGGGGAGATATGATAGCTGTCTTCAGATACATAAAGAGAAGTTAAAGAGAAGACGGTCAAGAACTATTTTCCATGACTACAGAAAGAGCCAAACATAACAGCTATAAGTTACAGCTGCCTAGATTTTGTTTAAATATAAGGAAACATTTCCTGATGGTAAGACCTATATGGAGAGTGAGTCAGTTTGGTGTAGTAGTTAAGGCACCAGGCTAGAAACTAGGAGACTGTGAGTTCTAGTCCCACCTTAGGCCATGGCTAGCTGGATGACTTTGGGCCAGTCACTCTCTCTCGGCCTTAGGAAGAAGGCAATGTCAAATCAATTCCAAAATCTTGCCAAGAAAACTGCAGGGACTAGTCCAGGCAGGTGCCTGGACTCAAAACTGGCTCAAAGGGACTAAAAAAAAAAATCTGTACAACAGTGGAATAATCTACCTATGGAGGTTGTGGGTTCTCCTTCTCTGCAGGTGTTTAAGAAGAGGCTGGACACTCACCTGTCATGGAAGATTTAACTTGATTCTTACACTTTGCAGAGGGTTAGGCAGATGATCTTAGTGATCTCTTCCAACTCTATAATTCTATTATTCTGTTGTTCAATTTTATTTGTGATATACTTGTAGGCTGAGTTTCACTTTGGTACCTTTAAATTAGGACTTGTAAAGCCATTATTTAATAAGACTGTGTTTTGAACTGTTATTCAAGCAGTCATTACTGTCCTAGAGAGACCATTTGCTTTTCTTTTCTTGCAGGAGACAGCAGACATGCTGAAAACTCACATAAAAGAGGAGTTGATGCAGGGGGAGGAAGATGGCTCTGTTTATGAGTCCATGGCTCATGTCTCTGCTGACCTGCTGATGAAATGTTCTCTGAACCCCAGCTGTGATGAAGAACTCTATGAATCCATGGCTGGTTTGATCCCTAGCTCTAGAGAGGACTTATGTACATATACAATGTTCCTCATTTATCTCATAATATAAGTGACAGTGGCTACTAACTAATGTTGAGCCAGAATTTCTTCTCACTGTTGCCATTTTGCACAGGGGATACAAAGTTAGGATGTATTTTGGTAATGTGGGAGTGTAGACAGCAGCAAAAAAAGGAGAGAGGGACATATTTATCTGCAAGCAGCAGTGTTCATATAGTGGATGCTATATTATCACTTTGTGGTTTGGCAGACTGTTTTCTTATGAAATGGGCTTTATGGTTGGAATTAAGTTAGACACATACCGATAACTGTTTTCCCAAAGGAAGAGTTTGGTAGGAGAGTGGAACGTAGTGGAGAAGTGAAGTGGGGATGTTTATCCATATAGCCTGGGCCAAAGTTCAGAATGGAAGATATCTCTGGAGCATAAGACTAGAGGCTTGGCAACAGAAGAGAGATCATCTGGCTGCTTCTGAGAGATATAGTGACAAATTCTCCACAAGCTTGATCGAAGAATTATACAGTTGAAAGGGGCCTTTTAGACCATGGAGTTTAATTCCTTGTCAGTGCAACAAATGAAACTGAAACATCTTCCACAAACAGCTTACCTAGTTTACCCTCAAACACATCCAGTGAAAGGTAGCCTACAACCGTCCTTAGTAGCTGGTTCTATTTTTGAATTATGTTTAATATTAGAATGTTTTTCTAACATTCAGTTGGAATTGCTGTTTCTGCAACTTAAATCCATTAAATCTATTGGAAGTCTTCTAGTCCTTCCCCTGCCCAGGAATCCGCAGGTCATTCCAGACAAATGGTTGTCTAAACTTTTCTTGAAAACTTCCACTGATGGAGCACCCACAACTTTAGGAGGCAGGCTATTCCATTGCTTAATGGCCCTCACAATCAAGAAATTACTCCTTATTTTAAGTTAAGATCTCTTAGTATAAAGTTTCCATTCACTGGTTCTTGTCTTACCCTCGGGTGCCATGGAGAATAAATCCACAGCCTCTTCCCTGTGACATCCCTTCATGTATTGGAAGATTGCTATCATGTCTCCCCTTAGCGTTCTTCTCTTTAGGCTAAACATACCAAGTGCCTTTAACCACTCCTTATAAGCTTTAGCTTCCAAGCCCCTTACCACTTTCTTGCTCTTCTCTGCTCTCTTTCCAGTTCCTCAGTGACCTTTTTGTATGGTGGCAATCAGAATTAAATTGTATTCCAGGTGTGGTTTGACTGGTGCAGCATAGAGCAGTACTGCGCTTCCATGATCTTGAAACTATATCTCTATTGATGCAGCCCCAAAGCACATTGGCTGTTTTGGCAGCTGAGGCACATTGCTGGCTCATGTTTATTCTGTGGTCTATCAAGACACCCAGATCCTTCTCACAAGTAATATTGCTAAGGTGTGTACTCCTTATCATGTACCTGGGCATCTGGTTTTCCTGCCTAAGTGCAGAACCTTAGATTTCTCACCATTGAGCAAGGTTTTGTTGAATAGGGCCCAATGTTCAAGTATATCAAGAACCTCTTGAATCTTGAACTAGGGTGTTAGCAACCCCTCCCCCAGCTTTGTGTCATCCACAGATTTTATGAGCATCCCTTCTATTCCCTCATCTAAGTCATTTATGAAGGTGTGGAAGAATACTGGGCCCAGGGCAGAACCCTGAGGTACCCCATTGCATACCTCCCACCATACAGACATAGCCCTTTTGAGAACCATGCTTGATGATCTTTTCTAGGACTTTCCGAGGTATTGATGTCAACCGATTGGTCTATAGTTTCTTGGATCTACTTTTTCCCTTTTTAAAAAAATACTGGAACACTGTTAGCTGTTCTCCAATCTTCTGGCATTTCCCTTGTACTCCAGGAGTTCTCAAATACAGTATTACAGTCAATGGTTCTGAGATAACATCTGCCAGTTCCTTTAGCACCCCGGGATGTAATCCATCTGGTCCAGGAGACTAAGCAACTAACTAACTAACTTGTTCAGAGCAACTAAGTGTTCTCTCACCAATTCTTTACCTATTTTGAGCTGCTCTTGTACTCTCCACAGTATCACTTCTGACAAGTTGAACTGCTTTTTCCTTTTGTGAAAAGTCAAATGCAGTGTAGGAATTAAGCAGTTCAGTTTTCTCCCTGTTGTCTCTCACCATCTTGCCATCTTCTCCAAGCAGTGAGCCAACCATTTCTTCAACTTTCCTCTTGTTCCAGACTTATCCAGAGAATCCATTTTTGTTATTTTTGGCATTCATAGCCAGCCTTACTTCATGCTGAGCCTTAGCCTTCCTGACCTTGCAGATTCAGGCTGTTTCATGATATTTTATTTTTGTTATATGCTCATCTTTCCATTTTTTAAACTTATCCTTTTTCTTTCTTAGTTTATCAGAGAGGTCTTAGTGCAACCATGCCAATCGCATAAGGTGTTTCTCCTCCTTTTTTTTTCCTCTTTGGTATTGCATTTGAGCCTTAATGATCTAATTTTTCAGAATTTTCCAACTCTCTTGAAGGGTTTTTCCTTTCAGAATTTCTATCCATTTTTCTCTTAGCTTTTTGTAGTTAGCTCTCTGGAAATCTGACTATTTTCATTTGTCCCCGCCTCCAATATGATTGATTCTAGGATTACATGGTCACTCTGTCCCAAGGTCTCTACCGCTTCCACTTCTTTTCTGTTAGTAATTATTAAGTCCAATATAGTCCATTACTTCCCTTCTCCACTTTTTGGACAATGAAGTTGTCTGAAAGGCATGTTAAGAACCTGTTGGATCTCCCACTTGCTGCAGAGTTTGATTCCCAGTTGATGTCAGAGTAATTGAAATCCCCCATTATCACAGTGGTGTGATTCCTGGATACCTTGGCCATCTAATCTGTGAAGACTTCATCTATATCTTCTGCTTAGTTGGGTGGTCTATACTACACACCCACAGCGATATCATTTTTGTTTCTTTTTCCCTTAATATTCAGCCAGGTACTCTTGGTAGGATTTTATTCCTTGGGATCATAAATTTCCATATAGGTGTAGTCATTCTTTACTTATACGATTCCACCTCCCTTTTTGTTGCATTTGTTTCTTTTGGAACAAATGATTTCCTTCCAGTACTGTATACTAATTATGAGATCCATCCCACCAAGTTTCAATTATACCTACAATATCATATTTATCCTCCTGTACTAGGACCAAATTTGCCCATGCTCTGCGCATTGGTGTACAGGCATCTGAGCCCTTTAGTGCTGCGCTTCTTAAGTTTCTCTGCTGCACCTCCTGGCGTATCCATGACCACCCTTTCCTTCCTTGTAAGGTTTACTCTTTTTAGATTTATTTATTTATTTTATTTATTTAATAGACTTGTCCCCGCCCCTCTCCCCACCCTGGGGGGCTCTGGGCCGCTTACATCAAATTAAAATCATAAATACATGATTAAAAGTTATAAAAGAACCACACTTACAGAGATTTATGTTATCGGTGTGGTTCAAGCTAATGGTTTCCCTCCCTCTTCAGATTTAATTTAAAGCTCTCCAGATTACCTTTACAGATGTCTTCTAAAGACATTCTTCCCTGTCTTTGTGAAATGCAGCTTATCTCTTGCCAGAAGCCCTTCCTATAGGTAGGAAAGACCATGGTTCAGGAATTTAAATTTTTCTCAGTGGTGAGTAGATGAGCCGTTATTACTGATGGTGTGTTGGGTTATTGTTTATCCTTGGGCACCGGGGCGGGTGGTTGTTATGTGTGTTTTAATCCTGTAAGCCACCCAGAGTTATTTGTGTGGGATGGACAGCTCTATAAACCAAATAAATAAAAGATGCCAACAGTTCACCTCCAGAATCCTTTATTCCTTCCTTGGCACATGACCATCGGTTGGAAGTATGGATGGAAACCCCACTGTGCTCCAAACTCTTGATTTCCTACCTAGCTCCTTGTAGTCTCTTGATATTCTTCCCAAGATTTTTTTCAGCAGTATTGACATGGAGATTAATACTGTTTGTTAATTATTAGAGCATTCAAGATCAGTCTGGATTTGTGCTAGGGAGTGTTTAATATATGGACAATATGCAGTTTCATCTGTATCTCCAAAGGACTTGCATACCTCTGGGCCAATTATATTTAAAATAAGTACATAAGCACATAACCTTTGCATTACATTTTGATTGCCAAGCTTTCCAACAGTAGGCTTAATCCAACAATATAAAGGTTATGGCCGATACCTGGACATGGACTGATTTTCAGAATGGTACTAAGCTTTCAGATGTACGCTTTATCCCTGTTCTTAGTATTGGCAGTTATCTTAAATAATCCTTCCTCAACTAAGAAAATCAAAGATTAGGAACACAAAGAATATACTTAATATGTATGTTGGTAATGTCATCTAAGTACATGTGTGGTCATTTTTTCCAGATGTAGAAATGCTTCAGTCAAATGCTAGTAACTCCTTTTCACGGACTACCAAGGACTATATGATGCGCAGATTCTTAGAAGGTGAGCACACATAGAGAACACTTACCTAGGAGACAAGGCATTCTTTCTAGATTACAGACAGAAGCAGTTGGTTTGCATGTCATTCTTTGGCAGGTACCTATCAGCACTCTCCTAACCTAAGGATGTATGTGGCATTATCTTGTTACATTTTACCTTTTAAGTGCTTTTATTGTATGAAAAAGGCAACATGATAATTTGTGTACAGTGAAACTACTGCTAAGATAGATGTTGTCAATCAATCCAGAATATCCAATCTAAATGAAATCCTATACCTCTCTGTTTTTCATTTTCCAGGTTTTGTCTCTTACTAATTCTATGTGTGTTACTTCTTCAATAATTCTCTCACTCCCTTATTAGGGCATTCCCATAAATAGAACAGCAGGACAATATTTCTGCAATTCAGGAAAGTAGGTTGGAAGTGGGTTTAGCAAATTCATAATGAAAAATAGGCACAGCCCTTACTGGTTACAGAAACACATAGCTTGGGCCTTGCTTAAGAGGCTGATGTCCTCAGCTGAGTTGCTGGCTTTCTGTAGCCTGTATGTAGGGGCCACTTTGGAGATGGCAGAAGACTTTAGCAAACTACGGTATGACCCCCAAGCTGGCTCCCAAGCAGAGTTGATGCCTTGAAACTTTTATTTATGAAGAAAATGTTAAGAAATGTGTTGTTTATTAATTTTTGCATGTTTTCATTTTTAATATGATTTCCTTTTCTAGGTGTTAGCTTGGAGGTACCAGAACGGAAAGAAAGTATATATCATCGAAGTGAAGACGAAGATGTCTATCATACTGTGGAACAAGACAGCTTTCCCCAGGAAATGGTCAACAGGCCACCTATTCCTGTTCCAAGACCTGATCCCTCCTCCATATCACAGGACAAAGAACCATACATTTATAAAGGTGATTGATGAACAATAATCTGATAACCCTTTTGCTAGGTAATATAGACTAGGAGGGCAAAAAACACTTGTGCATTTATAACAGATGTCAAATGATTCTAACTTTCATTTCAGGATTTTTTTTTCCTGTTTCTTTGTGGCAGATTACAAATATAAAGTGAAAAAAGTAAATATTAGTATACTGTGTCTCAGAAAATACAATTTTGCAGAACTATATAGGCAATTCTCAGGGACTTCTAATTATTTGTATATGTTCTTATTAGAGAAACATTTAAAAATGCCCCCTGGGTGTGGGAACAGCCCACAACAATCCCATTTTTTATTGCAGTTGTGATTGGGGTAACACCCATTCTGAAGGAAAGGGAATAGCAGCAAACACAGCTGCCTTTTCTTTCTGAGCCTTTAGTTCATGTGAAATATGAAATATTTAGAAGATAGACGAGCTAATGCAAAATAATTGCAAACAAGGTCTTTATTATGTAATCACCCTATCTCATTCACAACTTTTTATGGTTGCTCCAGACTTTGTAAACCTCCTCATATTTTTCCCATTTTTATTGTCTTTTACAAGAAATAATTAAGAAGGAAAAATGTACAGTTATAGAATCACAGAATGTAAGAGTTGGAAGAGGCCTTGAAGGTTATCTAGTCCAAACCCCATCCAGAGCAGGAATCCACTGCTACAGAATCCTTGGCAGATGGCCATCGAGCCTTGACTTTAATACTTCCGGTGAAGGAGAGTCTGCCACCTGTCAGGGTAGTTATTCCACTGTTGAACAGCACTTACTCTACTGTTAGGAAAACTCTTCTTGATCTTTAGTCAAAATCTGCTTCTTTGTAATTTAAACCCATTGTTCTTTTGTCATATTCTGGAATAATGAATTCCTGCACTGAGCAGGAAGTTGGATTCCATAGTCTATGATTCTGTAGTTATATGATACATTAAACCATATCTTTTTAAAGTGTTTAATACCGTACTATCCCAGAATTGTCCAATATGTGACCCAGAACTCTTATGTTTGTTTAGGAAAGCTTATGGAGTGCTCGCAGAACATCTGATAATGTACAGTATCTAAGAGGCCACTGGGTAGATATAGCATTAAAAATTCTGCACTGCATGATTTAGGGAACAGGTAATAGGGAACTAGTGATAGGGAGTTTACAGAAATGTCATGCTCCCATGGATATGACTGTACAGTGAAAATCAGATTGAGGCTGGCCTACCAGTAAGCACAATATTGCAGCACCACATTACAGTGGAAGGCAGAAAGGTACTGCACTAGATTTATTGCCTGCCATTGCCTTTTCAATATTTAGGCTTTATATGCATTTATATGCTCAGGAAGCTTGTCTTAGTCAAATGGTCTGTTTGCTTTGGGGTTTCTCATCAATATCCAGGTCTGTATCTTAACCAGAGTATGCCAAGGTTTTTGGCTTCACAATCATCAGTGCTTGAGGACTGTCACTTCAAGAATTGGATGAGTAACCCTATCATGCAGGATTTCAGATACCAAGAGATGGACTGGTTGACTGCTTTACACCCTCCAATGTGTGGCAGTCAGTGAGGCCCGTGCGATCAGATAGCGTGCATGACTGTACCACTTGTGGAGCAGCAGTTCCTAGCTTCTAGTTGTTTTTTGCCCTGAGCCAATAATCATAGGAAGGGATGGAAGGGGTTCTTGCACCTATAGTTTCTGGCAAAAAGAAAATTGGATTTTGCTACTAACCATTAAGCTTTTAAGTGCCCTTTGTGCCAGTGCAAGACTATGATGCAAATTATTGATCCCTGCAAATGCAGTGTGATGTCAGTCAGCATTTACAGTGATCATATTTGTAGTCCGTAAACAATCCATGTCCCTTATTACTATAATAAAGAACTGAAGATAAGCACCAAGATATGGTTAATATATGGATAGGTGCCCAATTATATTGGCCAAGGCATTTCTTATGGCTCGTCCTTCCCAGCAAGAGACAGTCTCACTTCTCATGTGTGCAGGTATGTGTGAAGGCATGGGAACTTTATCATCAGTGCACAAAGCATTACAATCAGAATCCATATTTAGAATCTGTATATGTTCTAAAAGGATATCCTACTCCACCTTGATTCAAAATGGTTATCTTATTATTGTATTGTAGTGTCCACCTTAAACATTTAATGGAATATTATTGTCATTGCTCTTTAAATCCAAACAGTTCTCAATAGAGAATCTTGTCATGTGCAAAAAAAGTTAAATGCTATTTTCACTAAAAATATATACAGGTGCTCAATTAAAAATGCTCATCAGAGTAAATTTAATATCTAAAATATGGTTGTGTTGTGACTTCTCCTATACATCTTTCATTTCTGTCTGTAAATAATCATTTGTGGTCTATCACTGCTTGCAATCACTGTACTGTACAAGTTCATAGAACTTTAAACAATCTCCAATTGTTATCATATTTGATAGGTACTGTTCATTAATTACTTTAACAATGTCTGTAAAGATTTGGGTGATAGATTTCCCAGTATCAAAAATAAAGCTCAATGGGATGTATCCAATATTAAATATAAATCTGAATCTTTAAATTGTTATGGCAATCCCACTGACTCATACTTTGCTACAATATCCACATGAACGCTGTCTTCAGTATGTTTTGAATCTTCAGCTGTTGGAATTCCAGACTACTGTTCTGCTGGAATGTAGTTCTGCTGGAACTACTGTTCTTGAACTTACCTAGTTATCCAATTATTTGACCTCAGTTGGCCTATCGTGCTTTCCTCAGAATTTTCAAATGAGAAGGAGGTGGAATAACCATGGGACCAGGATTTAGATGACTCAGTAACTAACACACCTGGACCAAGCCGTACTGCTGGAAAAAAATGAGGGGATGAGCTGTGAGACTCTTCCTATCCTCCTCCAGGGCCTAAAGAATGTGGATGAATGAAAGCATGGGAGGCAAGATAGAGTAAGCAGAAGCAGACGTCTTGTAGGATAAGAAATTTTCCCAATTTCAGGCAACTAACAGCACCTAGGTTCCTTGTGGAAGCAATTAGGGAAAAAAAATTAAAAATTGCAAAGATTCAACCAAAATTCAAAGAATTGTAGAATCCTTGAGTTGTAAGGTTCATCTAGCCCAGCTGCCTGTTCAGAGCAAGATCTGCTAAAACATTTGAACAAGTGGCTATTCAACCTTTGTTTAAAAGCTTCTAGTGAAAGGGAACATACTACTTCGTAAGACAACTTTTCCACTGATTGACAGTTCTTACTTTCAAGAAATCCTCCCATTGTCTAACCTGAATCTATTTCCTTGTAATTTCCACCCATTACTTCTGCTTTTGCCTTAAAACAACTTTTTTAAGGCACAACACTTTTGCCTTTAGTGTATAACTGCCCATGTCTCTTAACTGTTCTGTCATACACTAGGAGACAACTAACTTAACCTAAAACATAGTTACACTTCCATTACTGATCTGCTATGTGCACTAGTGGTGATCCTATACTAAGAAGATGAAATAATTCCAGGTGACAGGAGCGCTATGTAAACCCTAAACTAGTGCTAGTCATATCCATTGTTTATAGTTACATACCTTCTTTCTAAGGTCTTCTTGTTTGTCTCTCAATCCCTGTCTATGTCTTCTGGTAACCATTTCTGCAAGCAGTACATTCTAGTGCATTCCAGTAGTAGTTTGAAGAAAACTGTAAAATATCTATGGAATTGACTTAATATATATTAAATATATGAAGCTAAAGAAAAGTTTACCTAATATATGGAGTCCTCATTGTTTAATTTACTACCATGGAGGAGTTACACAGAAACTGAAAATCCAACTCTGGAAGACAATCAGACAAGGGAGCAAGCCTAGTAAATGAGTGTTGACAACCAGAAACAAGAAACATTAAAGTACTTTACACATTAGGTTCTGTTTTCAGGCTGTCAGAAAAGGAACAGGTTCTGAGCCTTCAGAGAAAGAAAAAGAGATGCTGCAGAACAGGAAACAGAAGAATAGATCTCTAGAGGGTAGAGAGAATGTAGTTTTGCTCTACTAGAAGACTAAGTAAAAGTTATCATCATTGGTAATTCTCTGCTACAAGGAACCAAAACAAATGTGTAGGAAACTCAAAGATTTGCATGTGGGGAGGGGGATTGCAGGAACCAGGCATGTGGGATGCGGAGGAAGAAGAAGAGTTCAGTGGGTGTGAGAAGAGGCAACATGGCCCAGAGTTGGGGGCTGTGGGAGGGATATATTTCAAATTGAGCCTCAATTGAGTTGCCTGAAAACTTATTTTTACGTTTTCAAGGTTCGTTTTTTAAAATTTTGACTAGCATTAAATATGCTTTTGTGAAATCTGTATGGTTCTAACTTCTTGAGCTTGCCAGCTATGTGCAGCTTGACAGCATGCTGTATAAAGAAGTAAAAGTGTGACCAGGACTTACTATAGGTTCTCAGTATTTGAAAGAAAACTCAGTGCAATGCACCACTTCATTTTTTCCCCTTTATTAAACAAACAGCCAGCATCTAGTTTCAATTTTCTCATCAAGATTTGAAAGCTTAATTTACAACCAGAATATTACATTCCAGAATACTCTTTCTTCTGCCCTTTCAAAGATAAATGAGGCTATCTGAGATTTTAAACTGTAGTAGAACTAAACTTTTTTCATCCTACTTAAAGTTTCTCTAACAGCCTATAAGTCTGCATGATATACTTTTAATTTAGCATATATGTACCTCTGTATGCTTCTAAACACACTAACTGCTGTTCTCTAGAATTAGAAAAGGCTGGCAGCTGGCTTTTTCCAGGCTGGCAAAATCTTTTATCTTCCATCATCTTAATTCCCTACAGGACCATCTGTGAAGTGTAGACCATGTCCCACAATGCCTTCTCCTTTTCAGGTCTTCAGCAATCTTCTCTGGGCTTGACTTTCTCTGCTCTGTGGTCTTTAGGCCACTCTCCAACTAACAAGCCTTAAGCAGTGTAAACACAGCCAGTCCATTGTAGATTTACCATGCCCCGTTTCTCTTTAACCAAAAGCTAATGTTCAGCAGTCACTACTGTCTAGATCCATATTCACTGCTGGCCATTACACCTCCATTGCTGTCCTCCTCTTCTTCTCAGAGTTCTTTAGTAATCAGTTCTTACTGCATATTTTACAGACAAGAGACCTCAGTGGTGAATATTGTCTAGCAGCACAGGGAAAAACCTGTACCATAAAAGCAGATTTGATTCCACAGAAAGGGGTAAGGAAGGAAACAGTGCTTTTGATAATATTAACAGAGTCCAGAAGGGATACAAATTAATGAGTTACGTTTTGGTCAAAGAGATGAAAATTTTCCAAGGGACAAAGAACAGTGTCAAAATTGCTTTAATGCTCATGTATAATTAGCATACATAAATGCTATTCTGCATGCTTCTAATTACCAATCAGGATGTTTGAAAAATAAGGACTATGAATGTCACAAAAGGTTATCATAAATCTTCCTTTCTTTGTTTTCTGAACAGATGAGGATGTTTTATGTAGGGAAGGAATAATATGGAAGGAGGTTAACAAGGAAGTTTCCATACCATTGCTATATGCTATTTGTGTAAAACACATGGAGATGTCCATCAGGCTGCTGTGATTTCTATAATTGTAGTTACTCAAGTTATTACAGTTAGGGAAATCACAGCAGCCTGATGGACATCTCCTCTGAGTGACGTATGATGTTCACTATAGTAATTACATGACAGCTGTCAAATGTATAATTTTCTGTCTTCATAGATTCCTAGAATTGTAAGTTACTTCAGAGGCAATTTAGTCAATCCCTTACTCATTGCAGGATCTGCTAAAGCATTTTGGGCACATAGCTATCCAGCCTATATTTAAAGACTTTTGGGGAAGGGGAACATATCATTTCATGAACCAACTTATTCTACTGGTTGACAGCTTTTGTCATCAGCAAATACCTCTGATATATAACCTGAATCTACTTTTCTAGAAGTTTAACCCATTAGTTGTGGTAATAGCCTCTTGGGTAACAGACAATGACTATTCTCTCTTTTATATGACAACCTCTTAGATACCTGAAAAATGATGTGCTGTCTCTCCTTAGTTATCTTTTTTGTAGGCTAAACTTAACCAGTTCATTTAACTATTCCTAATATGACTTGGTTTCCAGTTACATCCCTATCTTGGCTGTTGTTCTTTTAGCTCACTCCAGTTTGTAGATGTCCTTTTTCAATTGTGGTGTCCAAAACTGAACATAGAATTCCAGTGAGGCATGAGTAAGGCAGAGCAGAAGGGGCAATTATTATCTGGGATCTGGACTCTATGCACTTGGTAATCATATTCCATAATAGCATTTGCCTTTTAAGCAGCTGCATCCATCTACACTGCTACCATCTAGCTTGTATTTGACCATTTCATTAACAATTTATCATGTCAAATGCTTTGCTCTGGTTAAGGTACACTATATCCATGGCATTCCCCTAATTTATTAAGCTACTAACTCTGTCAGAAAAGGGGGCAAGGTTAGTCATTTGACAAACATTTCTGCTATGCCTTTGTTGCCTAAAGAGATGTCCACCCCAAATTTAGTCTAATGTACACTAAGAAAGCTTGGATAGGTGTTATAGTAAGTTAGCTGCTTGAAATATATATAAATGCTTATCTCATTGTTAAGTTTTGATAGTGCAGTTATAGAAGTCCTGATGTTTTTATATGAGATACATAATGGAATTCAGATTTTAAATCCAACGCTCTGCATCCTTTTCCTCGGAGTTTACAATAATAATTTTCTTAGTATTGTTAGCACAGGCTGAACCAGCAATAAAGTATAGCTTCCCATCTTATTTCCTGATCTAATAGCTCAATTGAAGGGATTTTTTAAACAAATTCTCTTTGATCCACAGGAAAGAATTGCTCAGAAAGATAGTTCTCCCAGGGTTTGTATTGGTGAAAATGGGTCTAAATCAGTTATGCCATCTTATGTCTTTAAAAGTTCGTCTTACGGTGAAGAAATTTCTGCTCACCTATATCTTTTAAATAACTTATAAACTCTAGAACTCTCACTTTTAAAATATGTATTTTAATTTTGGACATTCCTCTGCGTTTTGTTTCTAATTGTATTTATATTTCTTTTGTTATGTTTGATTTATATCTCAATCCTATTTATAACTTTTTAAATATGCACTGCCTGTACAACTTTGTATTATGAGGTACCTTTGAAATGTTCTAAATAAATTGTATTTGTTCAGTATTTGCAGGAAAAGATCAAGAGAAATCTGGGAATCTTTATGTTTCTACAGCAAATACTGGCAAAGGTGAGTCAAGATTACAGCATTTTTCCAGTTTCTTGACAGGTTATTAAGAGTTTTATTAAGGGTTAATGTTATTCATCATAGATTAGCATAGCTGAACCACATTAGTTACTGTGGTGATATGAATTTAGAAAATAGGGCATCTAAATCAAGAAACAGCAATGTGATCTGAGAGTTGTCATCTTATAGGAACATAAGTAGCCATGCAAGTAGACATTGGTGTGGTCCCTCTTCTATATCGAGTGGTGAGTTGACTTAATAACACCTCTCCTTCCCATTTCTACACTATCTCAGAAAAGAGTACTCTCTTACACTTACTCTTACCTGACAGGTCTCCAGACATTTCTAGAAGAGTTGCCAAATTTATTCCATCATCAAATGTTAAATTCTGTTGTAGTGTTGGGAACTTCAGTATTTTCGTGAATTCAGCTGTGCAAATTTCTTGATATTTATAATTGATTTTATTGCTTTCTCATGTGGTTATTTTGGTCTTAAATAAATAGAAGATTCTGGATGAGGTTCATGGCAGACTAAGACATCTCCGGCGAAGTGGAGATGGTGTTGTGGTGGTGACCAAAGCCAGACAACAAATTCTGGCCGGCAGAGCCTCTCTGGATAAGGAGAGACCGAGAAATCCCCCACCTGTACTCCACACGGCTACTCCTCATGAGGAGACCACAGGAATCCAAGGTTCCTGCAGTCGACTCATGAGTTGAGTGGCCAAGTGTCGAGGAAGAGCCAGTGCAGCACGCTTGCAACGGCAGTACAGTCTTCTAAGGACACTGGATTCACTCAGTGCCTCACTGTCTTAATCACATTGGGATATAATCAATTTACAGTTAAAGAGAGATCTTCAGACCAGAGGATAAAGAAAAAAAACCACTTGGTGAGTCAGCCTTCATTCTGGATTAAAGAAAGAAAAAAGGAAAATAATTTAAAGAATTTTAAATTAACAGCATAAAGCTTAATAAGATTCTGACCTAAGAAAGTTATAAACAGATAAAAGGGACAGTTTAAATTTGAAAGACTTACTATTTTGGCGAAAGTGCTTTTGATACTATTTGAAAATAATTTGACAAATAGACCGTGCCTTCATGGGAGTGTTGATTGTTTAATATCAAAGGGAAAAGACAGTTGGTGGATTTTACAAAACAAAGAGATAAATGTAATATGAGATAGACTGTGTGACCAGAACTACAGACTGTGTGTCCAGAACTATGGAGTGCCAGTTTGGATTAAATCCTTAAGGACATAGAAGAGAGAAAAAATAGAGAAAAACCTCCCATTTACTTTCGCCATAAAAGTATGGCAACTACCTGGAAAGCTGCAAAACTTGATAAAGGGAGAAGAGGATTGTTACAACAACCAACAGAAAAGGAGATTACCCCAGAGATATTACAAAAAATGTTTGAAGAGATGGGGAAGAAGGTATCTGAATCTGTCAAATCTGTTAAAAGTGATCTGGCTGCATTTGAAGGGAGAATAGAAGAAAGATTTGGAAAGAGGAAAGAGGAAATGAAAGAAGTTAAAAAAATTGAAGAATCTACAGATGGAGAAACTCTGAAATACCCAGAATGGAGGAATGGTGGGTGAAGATGACGGAATTTGCAGAGATGACAAAATTGACTTGCTTGATTAGGGAAAAGACAACAGCTACATTTGTCAGTGACTGGAAACCCTTTATGGACTTTTTGCTGAAAACGGAAAAAAATGAACTTGTGATATATGGGTTTGACAATGAGAAAGGGTAGAATGTGGAAAGAAGGGAGCCACAATATAACTATATAGAGAGAGTATAAAATATAAATGTATTTTTAACTGCTGTAAAGAAGATTGGAAGCTTGCTTATATTTTTTTTCTTTTTTTTTCTTTCTTTTTTCTTCACTTTTCTTTTTTTCTTTAAATTTGTATTGCTTATATTATGTAAAAAAATCTCTTCAATAAAAATTACTTTTAAAAATTAATTAAATAAATAGTGCAGTTCTTGTAAAAGGAACTAAGAGTAACAGAAAAGAAGACTCACAGTCCCTTTGTGCTGCTGTTACAATTGTACAGATATTATTTCACTGATCGTCTCCAACAATGCTGTAGTCTGGGAATGGTGTCCTACATCACAAAATCTATCTGCTCCTCACAGTATCCTGTTGAAACATTTAAAGGGATGCTTCAACATGTGATGTATTGATAAGCATTTCGTACAATCACTCATTAGTCCCAGGATTCCTGATTCATAGAATCATTGACTTGTAAGGTTCTTCAAAAGTCATCTAGTCTATCTCTTGATGTCTGCCTATCATGTCCTTTTCAGAGCCTATCTCTTCCCAGAAAACCAACATATAGGTAGCACAGTCCTTGTTTGAGGAACCCAACATATTCTTGACTGCACCATCCACAGTTGTCCAGTTGCAGGATTCTCCCATAACATCATATCAGGCCTATACACTGCAGTCTTGGTTCCTCTCACAACATACACCTTCCTCAAAATAGTTCTTGGGTTTCTTCAACCATGGTGGTGGGGGGTGGGGAGTGCAGTGTGTCCTGCCCTGTTCTGTGATGCTGGTGTTCCATTCTATGATGCTTGGCAAGGCCTGCTCAAGCCTGATATTGGCTGCTGAGCTCTGTTGTCACTGAAAGCCTCCTGATCACATGCTTCTACGTGTTTAACTTCACGTTCTCTGGTGTTCATTTCCCCTCTGTGCCCCATTGAGGAGTTTTATCTATCCTGTCTAGAACTTCTCACATCTTCTCTTGTGTGTTTCAGTGTAGAAACTCTCCTCGGGCTGCTTTACTTTTTTCTCTCCAGTAACTATAAAAGCTTGCATTTTGAGCAAGTATAGTTTGAGTTTTCTTTAGATGGAAGGACAAACATTGCCCATAGCTTGCAGATTACTGTGAAGCTTCCTTCACTTTCCATGCTGCTTTAAATTGATTGGTGTCTCTCCTTGCCAAACTCCTATGAAAACTCTTGTGTTAGCTTGCTCTAGACATAAGCTCTTGGAAGCTGTTTCTCTGGAAGAGTCCAAGCCTGGACTAAGCTCTTCCACAGAGCTGAGGGAATGTGATCACTGGATGATTAGTAATGAAGCCCACCCCAGTCCCCACCCAAACTACAATCACACATAGTAAGCAATCAGAAACAAAATGGACAATCAGCAGACTCAGGAAAAAGCAAGCAACAGCACAACAGTCAGTCAGCAGTCTCTGCCTCCTTCATTCTTCCACTATCTTCTTCCTCTTCTTTCTTGTTAAAGTCACACACAAATATCCCATTTGCTGTCTCTCTTAGCTCATTCAGCACACTCATGTCCTGGAAAGCAACAGTCCTTAGTTAGAGTATAGATGACTTTGATTTAAAGTTCATGATCTAGCTATGTAATATGCCCTGTGAGAGAATAACATGAAGATGGGATTTTTCCAATTCTATTTTTTTTTATTATTATTTTTGGAACCAATAGATTCAGTTTCAAACCAGCTTCAACATAATATATATGACCCATTTGCTGGGATGAAAACTCCAGGTCAGAGGCAGCTGATTACTTTACAAGAGCAAGTGAAGCTGGGGATGCTCACTGTAGATGAAGCTGTCCTGTGTTTCAAAGAGTGGCAGTTAAATCAAAAGAAGAGAGCAGAATCATTTCGCTATCAACAGGTATGTATTTCAAAGGGATGAAAATTAAAAAATCTCATTACTAAATCTAGTCCATCTTATGTTTCACATTATTCTTAATGTGTCTGTTTTTGTCATTGCAGGAAAAGTTAACTGCTATAATCTCTGCTCCCTATTTTTCTGTAAATAGCATAGTTTTTAAAGAGAACTCAGCTATTTAAATATGAAAGGGCTAAAATGGTGAAAACATTCTCTAGGATGGACAAATCTTCTGATTTATCTCAAAAATCTCTTAGGGTGACTTGTGACAACTTGAAAGCTTTTTGTCCTAGTGGAGGATGTCCCCTCAGTTGCTTCAGCTATGAACAGTGGGGTGAGAGGAAGGTTTTTATGAATTAAACTTATTCTTCTTGTATAGTTGCCCCCTCCATAACAATATCTATCTGGGAAGGAGATACCTTTTTAATCAAGTTTTTATCTGGTCTTGACATCCTTTTTTACAAGAGACTTGGGCTTTAGAAGAACTCAGTACAGATGGTTCCTATATTAGCTATATTAGTCAAGTGAGGGAGGAGGCAGACATAAAGAAGCTAGCAATATTCATCTCAGTAGCTTTCCAGACAGTGAATACCTGCCCCCCCCGCCACATCATGTGTATTGGGCAACAGCCTGCACTTGCATATGAAAGGTATTTCAATATTTTTATTAAATGTATACCTTCACCTCTTCACAAACACTGACAAGTTAGACATCTATGGAAAGAGCTCAACAATTATTTGGAAGATTGTTTTGTGTCTAATCCTTCAGCTTCTGCCATACTGGGTAGGGATTTCAATGCTTGAATGGAACCAGATGTAGTTCTTCCTATCAGTTTCCCTCCTGAGGCAAAAGAGGGAATTTTGTTTCCTTCCTCCTTGCATAGCTAAGGATGGGATTTGCAACCTTGCACAATTTTCCTAATAAGACTGGCCAATTGTTTTGATTTAATTGATTTTAAATGGGGCTGTAGTAGGAGATTGCCCTGTGGAATTTACATACTAGTTGGGGTTTCTATTTCAAAGGCCAATGATTGGCTGATATCTTCTAATCAACTTACCACTGTAAATTCTATGAAAATTGAGCCATGCCCAGATAGTGATAATTTCTTTCTAATTTAAAGATTTACCTCCCCTTTAAACTAGCAAATCTTCCATTTGTAGAAACGCAAACCTCACATATTAAGTAGGACTAAAACTGGGATATTTTCTTCCCTAAAATCTTAAATGAAGTAGAATCATGCAGTGATGGGAACTATCAGGACAGGCCCCCAGTTATTTGAAAGTCACATCCTTCTTATTTAAAATCTCCAGAAATATATCGCAAAGCAGATGGAGAGGTTTAAACCTAATTTATAGTACAGATCAACAACATAGTTTGACCAGGAGTACATGGTTGCCACAAGAGTTCTAATTAGCTTTTACAAACTATACCAACAAGACCCTGCACAAATATAAATACGTAGATTACTAGGGGAATCTCTTTCTCTCTCTCTCGAAAATGAAGGAAAGAGAGGTCTTGGTGAAACCATGGTGACAGTGGTTTATTGCAGCTGAAGATTCAAATCCCTCTCTGTTCTGGCACATTGTAGAAGAGCAGGTTGAGGACAGTTTACATCATGTCAAGTCAGATTCTCATGGAGGTTTGGGAAGCTCACTTTTGAACTCTATGTGAATCTCAGCCAGATTAATCTATGGTTGTTTCACACCCAAATAATAAAAACTCCTCCAGATTGGCCATCAGTTTTGGTGTTTGAAGTGAAAACACTTATCAACAGACTTAAACCAGGGAAGGCTCCTGGCTGTGACCATATCCTGCCTCAAATGCTGAAATCTCATATTAATTGGTGTGCCCTGCTTTGGCCTTACTTTTCTCATACATTCATCAGTCTGGAAAATTACCTCCAGATTGTGGTCTTTGCTGATTTTAAATCAGCATTTGATTCAATTTTGCGACCACTTCTATGGGAAAAACTTATGGAATTTGATACTGATTTATAGATACCATTCCTTATCTAGAATTTGCATACAGGTTCTAGGAGTAAAATAAGATTGACCACAAGACCTATAATAAAACCCAATCCTTGTGTATAGGGGAGTTAGATAGGGATATATCCTAGCTTCCTCTTTGTTCAAGTTACAGATGAATTCACTCTCAGGTCCAAACTCTCATCCCCCTAGAAGGGCAGACAAAAATGTCCCATTCTTGTTTTATGCAGATGATTTCATTTCAAGGACTCCAACTTGCCTCAGTCATGAACTTAACAGCCTAGTGTGCTGTTGCATGGGAAAAAAACTTGTAATAAACTTCCAGAAAACTAAAGTAATGGTCTTCACTAAAACATTTAGGAAGCTTTGATGGGTAATAGATTAGTATCTAAGTGTGGTCCTTTAAGACTCGGGTTTCTCTTCATAGAAAGATAGAATACCTTGCCTTCAGCACTTTTATAAGGGAGATTAAACAAAGTTCACACCGCTATCTGAACCTGCTGTTTGGGGTGATGTTCCAATTGAATTTTTTTTTCTTCCTAGCATTTTTCCTGCAGGTACAAGGTCCACTTTTTTCGGATCAACCAAATGTTGATCCGTTGGTTGTGATAGGAACTGACCGACTGGCTTGTCACCCAAGCCTGATGTAGGGGGCTGAGAAACAATGACTGGCCCAAAGTCACCCAGCCAGCTTTCATGCCTAAAGCGGGACTAGAACTCACATCCTGGTTTCTAGCCTGGAGCTTTAACCACTAGACCAAACTGGCTCTGTAATCTCAAATGAATCCATCTTCCATTTGCTGTTACACTATTCTTTTTGTAATGATATCTGAAGAAGACTATTTTTTCTTCTGTTGTTATATGCTCCAAGCCAGTCTGAGAACCTTATGTTAATTTCCTTCTGTCAGATAAGAACAGCCTTAATGAAGCAAAGGTTTTGCACATTAGCTGCAAATGTACTCAAACAACTAACTTCTGGTCTACATTATTAACATCTTAATATTTGCTCCAATCTTTGGTCATGTATGAACAAATTATCAATTGTAACATACAATTGATGTAAATATTTTAGATTATCAGGTTTCACAGTAGCTTATTGTTATATTGCTAATATATTGCACTATAGATTCAGTTATCTAGTTTTAGATTTCACTTGCAGTTAATTATTAACTTTTTAAGTTTAAGTTAAAAAGTTAATTATTAACTTTTAGTTTTCAATCCTGGTATTAATAGAGTACAATATTTTATGTATACAAAAGTATGTTACCTGGCTGGATTTAGTTACAATATATCTTGTTTCAAACTGGTCATTGACTAAAATGAAGTTTTCTATCTCTCTCTTTCTCTCTCTCTCCATCCATCTGTCCATCCAAGCAGTTGGACTGTTGTATAATAGTGGAGTGGATAAGGAGATTGCAGAGAAATTGATTCATTATGCCTTTCTTCCCTGCGAAAAAGTTTAATAGAAATACCCAGATCTGAACTGAAATGTTCAAGAAGGGAGTCTAGGTAAATAGTGGTGATCTTCCCAGATAAACTGGGAAAAAACCAAAACAAAACAGCAACAGGATAGTATAGTGTGAGACTTAGATTGGGTACATCCAAGTTAAACCATATTGGGTGACTTTGGCCAAACTGTGTCAAACCACAGAATAAAATGAATCATTGCTCTCAGAAGAGAGCTAGGATATACATGCAAACCATAATAACAATTATAATAATAAAAATCACTGGGTCCAGATGATGGTTATTTCAGATTTTTAAAAATTTAGGAAATAGCTAATACTAAAAAAATTAAATCTGTCCTTGAAATTGTTGTTGTTTTTAAAGATCAATGAAATGACAAGTAATTCTACGTAAAATCCATTCTAAGTAAATTGGCAGAAAAAGTTTTTACAGAAAAAATTACTATTTGCTGAAAGGGATATCAGCCTATCTTTAGTAAAGATAAATTATTTTGTACTAATCTTAAGAATATTCAGAAAATTAAGCAGCATTAAGAAAATCAGCAAGAATGTGGACATTGTGATCTAGCAATGAAGTGCCCACGTTCACTGTCAATATCAAATGATATTCAGTGAAAGAGTCCAAAAATCCATTCTTCTCCAGTCTCAAGGAATGGATCTAAAATGGCAACTGTAGTTCAATATAAGCAAATATAAAGTGATTCACACTAAGGGCAAAACATGCATACACACATACATACATTTTCCAGATCTGAACTAAGATGGTTCCATGTGACTCAGTGAAAGTACCATTTTAAATGTGTGGCTTTTCTGTTAAGGACAAATCTTTGTTGAAGATAATACAAAAAGAGTAAAGAAAAAGCTATTATTATTTTACTATAGCACTAGAGGAGAATAAGGATTAGATGAGAAGCAAGATTATTAAAAGACTTGAGTTCTCTTCTATGATGTAGGATTATAATGTTTAGCTGAGAAACAAGGCAAGTAATTGAGAATATGATAGATAGATGGAAGCGTGGAATTTGGAAAAAATTGGAAATGGAGATTTTTACCCACTTATAATACTAGAAATAATGCTGAATAGTGGAAGATGCAGGAAGCTTTTTTTCCATGGCATACCTAGTGAGGAAGGTACTATTGTGTTCATGTCTTACTAATAGCCTTTGGGACAGAATTTTGGGCAAGATATACCTTTGTTTTGAACCAGCACAGCTCTTTCTATACTCTCAGTACCTCTTCCTAAGCAAATACAGGTAGTCCTTGCTTAATGACCATTTGTTCAGTGACTGTTCAAAATTAGGTGGAGTTGAAAAAATAGACTTACAACCCATGCCTGAAGATTCAGCTGTTGCAGCACCCCTGTGCTCATATGATCAAAATTTGGATGCTTGGCAGCTGCCCCACACCTACGACTTCAGGGGCGATGGAACTCCCCCCACTTGCCCATCTCCCCCCATCTATGCCCTTTTGGCTGCCCTGCACAGCAACACTTGTTGGTGGCAATGCCAGGGCTGGGGCTGAAGTAGAGACTTGAGGCCTTCAGCAGTCTCAGTCAGCTGCCACTGCCCCTAGGCCTCAACTTCAGCCCCAGTGCCACCACTGCCACTGAGAAATACTGTCTCATGCCCCATACCACTGGCCTTTGTCACCTCACTCTGTTCCCCAAGCCATTCCTCATGTTCCTTCCCTAAACCTAGCGTCCTGTCACCCCATTCCTTCCTGAAGCCACATGTCCCATAGCTTCTGCAAGCCATGCCTCTCATTCCTTCTCTAAACCTGTCGTCCTGTCGTCCCATTCCTTCCTGAAGCCATGTGTCCCATACCTTCTGCAAGCCACACCTCTCCTTCCTTCTGTAAAGCTGGCGTCCCATTCTTGTGAGACCTGGGGAAGACCAGAAGGTTTCCGAAGGATCGCTAGAATGGGATGCCAGCTTTACGGAAGGAATGAGAGGTATGGCTTGCAGACGGTATGGGATGCGTGGCTTCAGTCAAGGCCTGGGGGCGGTGGCAGCTGGCTGAGACTGCTGAAGGCCTTGATCCTCTACTTTAGTCCCAGCCATGGTGCTGCGGCCGCCAAGTGCCACTGTGCAGGGCAGCCAAAAGGGCATAGATGGGGAGATAGGCGGGTGGGAGGAGTTGCAGTGCCCCTGTAGTCGTAAGTGCTGCTGGGGCGGCTGCAGCTTTGTGCTGCACATTGCCTTTGCCAGGCCTCCCAGTGCCTCCCCAACTTGCACCTGGCCTGTGCTGGGCTTCCCCCACACACCCCTGAGGCATCCCCATGCTCCTTACCTGGGACTCCGTCTGCTTAATAACCCATGATTCTTGCTTAACAACCACAGCTAGGAATGCTGGGATTGCAGTCACCAAGCGAAGCAGTCATGTGATAATTTATTTAACGACCACATTGCTTACCAACCTACATTCCGGTCCCAATTGTGGTCGGATAGCGAGGACTACCTGTAGATGAACAGTACCCTGATATCACCTTATCTTTATAATTAGGGCTACTCTAATGGATTTTTTTAAAATTGAAAATTAGTACAAGTTTAGATAGGAGATAAATACTATATTTTCCCTATGAAGTATTTTCTAATAGATTATTGGAAAAGAGTGAATATCAGCAGTATACAAAATTATCTTGGTCATGAAAATCTCTCTACTTTGTGTTAGTTGTATTAGTTCTTGCCAGATTTGCATGTCATTATGAATAATAATAATGCATTTGTCAGATTCCTAAAAATTTAATTTTGCATTTCTAGGAAAATCTAAAAAGGTTACGTGATAGCATCACTCGACGACAGCTTGAAAAGGAAAAGACTGGGAAGCGTGCAGGTAAAATCCTTAGCTAATTAATAACAGCAATTAGCCATCCTACTGGTGTAAAACCAAGGAGATATAATTATGAAACTCACATGTTAATGGCCTGATCCTGGCAGATACATTTTTGTAAAGCATTTTATTGGGATGGGTAGGAAAATTCACTAAATCTGAGCAAGGTGGGAGCAATGAGGATACAATGAATACCGTGCTTATATTTTCATAGAATAATTAGCTCCATTTGTTTTTAACAGATCTATCTAGCTATCATATCTATGAAATTTGTAATCATGATAAATCAGAATATAGCTATATCAGTGTGAGTTTTTTATATATCCCAGTGAATACTTGATTTAACACACACACACACACACACACACCCTTTTAGGAGACATTGGGTGTAAGAAACCACATTTCTGTCTTGATGTCTCCCTGAAATAATGTACAAACTATTGCATCCAAAGTAGTCCAGGTGAAGCAATGCAGTTATTTAAATTTACCTTGATTTTAATGCTTAATGATGAATTATGCAATTATATCACCTGCATCATTTTACATGATTTGTATCATTTGTATAATAGCTTCATTACACCAAGAAGCTGTTGTGTCCTGCCTATAATGATGGGTAGATCAGTCTGAGGTGTTTTTGGCCAGCAACAATAGTGATGGATCATGATGGGGTGCTCTTAAGCATCTGTACCACTTTTCTTCCATACCTTTCCTGAACATAAAGTTAGTAATCATCTGCATAAGTGCTTCATCTATTTATATGCTTCTTCTATTTATTTATTTACATTGCTTTTATGCCACTCATTGCCACAGACTCTGTATGGCTAATGTAAACATATAAAATACCCCAAGAACCCCCATATACATAAAAACATAAACATAAAAATATGATTATGAATTATGAATGTTGCTCCCATTGCTCAAAAAGAATAGACAATTTCAAAATATATTTATTTTTATTTATTTATCAAATGTGTTACCGCCCATCTTGTTGAAATGACTCTGGGCATTTTACAGCAGAGATAAAATTCATTAAAATTCAATATAAAACAGTCCTAATAATAAATAACTTCGAAGAAAGGTGGAGAGTTGGTGACTAATTCAAGAGAGCGTCGTCAGGGTGCTAACTACCCCCAAGGATGGTTAGAGCCCATAGCACCCCATGGACACTGGCAGAGCCAGGTCTTTAATCCTTTTCAGAAAACCAGGAGGGTAGGGGCCTGCCACACCTCTGGGGGGAGAATATTCCAAAGGGTGGGGGCAACAGCAGAGAAGGCTCTCCTTGGCCCCACCAGCTGACATTCTCTTGCTGACAGGGTCTGCAACATGCCCTCTCTGCCTGACCGGGTGGGACAGGTTGATGCAATGGGGATGAGACGGTCCCTCAGGTAACCTGGACCCATGCCACGTAGTTAATGTTAATGTTTTTCTAGTGTTACTGTTCTACAGTTACTGTTAATGTTTTTCTAGTGACCTCCTAAATCCTTATCAGGCTGTGAATATACCATTATAATTGTAAATGATGGAGTGATTAAATAAGCAGGATATTTAAGAAGAATAGAAGGGATACAGGCTCCAGAGAGCGTATAATTAAGCAAGTTAAAAAGGGGACAGGAAAATTAGAAATGAATTTGTTAGGGGAGTTTGGCATGAGAGTTTAAGGAAAAGTCTCTAGCAGATTTTCCTCCTAAATCAAGATTTTGTACTCAGTTAATCTGAAAGCCTGAGAAGGAAACAAGAGGAAATGTTTTTACTGGTAGGGTCTTAGGAAAGAAAAGAGAAAATAAACCAAAAATAAACTGAAGTTGTGACCTGCATTGCTTGGCTCTGTCACCCTGGCTGACAGACCTAGCATATACTAGCTGTAAGCTAATGTTCGTATCTGTTCTTGAGGAAAAGGTCAAATCATTGGAACAGTAATTGGCCTCATTTCAGCTGATGACAGAGGCAGAACATTTTAAAATTAAAATAAAGGAGGCTTCACAACAGAAAATAAATCCTTCCAGTCCTTGGAAGAACTGTCACACCTTTTGGGATTTATGCTTTCTGCCCAAATGAATTATTCTTGTTCCTAGGAAAAAATTATCTTGGATTGACAATTAAAAGATTACTTTATTATTTGGATGCTCTATAGAATTGCCATTGTAAGCTGTTTGTAAACAGTCCTAAAATAGGGTCATTACACAATTTGGTTTTAAGCAAGATTGAGATAAACTTTTGATAAATAGCCACATTACATTGTTATAAAATGATCAGTTGTCTTTGGCTATACTGTAGCCATTCAGACACTTTCACAAAAGACTGGATTTTTTTAAATAGAATCAATATTGTAGCTTTACAGAGGCATTATAGAAACCACATTGGGGATAGGATAAATATAATGGTACAGCCATTTTCCTGCTATAGATAGCTGGAAAATTTTGCTCTGGCAGTAGTGAATAGGAGAAGGAGGTTCCAGTCCCATATATGGTGAGAAACAAAAACAGGAGTTAGTTTGTGAGACCTTTTATGAAAATCAGAGTGACAGTCTATAGCAGTTGATATACATTTTTGTTCTGAATAAAAAGTTATGGAAGTTTTAGTGAAAATCAGAGGCAATTTATAAAGAACAAATAACTGCAGATATTTCACTTCCATAACTTTTATAGTAATTCTATTACAATTTTCAAAAAATACGGAGAAAACAAAGTAATATAAACACATCCAACAAATTAATTTGTAATTAAATTATAATATCAACAGAAGAAAAATAAACAAAAAACAATCCGCTAAGAAATAACATTCTAAAATGATATATGTCACCTAAATATATATTCATTAAATATATATATCAAATTACACATACAAATTGTCTATTCTTATACAACATTGTGAAATCTAAACCCCTGCCAAAGGGAAATGTATTGTGACATTTTTTGATTAATAAAAAAAACATCCTTTTCAAAAACTGATGTTACACTGACAGGCAGTGCCCTTTTTACGCCAGAAGTAGTGCTGCGTGTTCTTTCCTAATAGTTCAATCCTTGCTTCATCAGTC